CCCTTGAGCTCAGGCAATCCTCTCGCCACAGCCTCCGAAAGTGCTGGGATTACAGGCATGAGCCACTGTGTCCAGCCTATTTTTTTTCTTTTTTTTGAGTCGGAGTCTCACTCTGTCACCCAGGCTAGAGTGCAGTAGCATGCTCACGGCCACTACAGCCTTGACCCGCTGAGCTCAGGCAATCCTTCTGCCTCAGTCTTCCAAGAAGCTGTAACTACAGGTGTGCGCCACCATGCCTGGCTAATTTTTCTTGATTTATTGTAGAGTCGAGGTCTTGCCAAGTTGCCCAGGCTGGTCTCAAACCTGTGGGCTTAGGCAATCCTCTCACCTCTGTTTCCCATAGTGCTGGGATTACTGGTGTGAGCCACTGCTCCCGGCTCCTGTTGCCTATTAACAAGACTGCAACTCTGAGCAAGAAACAACAATTGCAAGATTCTCCTCATCTTCTTAGATTAGGACCACAACAGCACAAGTTAGACATCCCTTTTTTTTTTTTCTTTTTGAGACAGGTTTCAATTGCCTAGGATGGAGTGCTGTGGCATGATCTCCACGCGCCACAGACTCAAACTCCTGGGCTCAAGTGATCCTCCTTCCTCAGGTTTCCTAGTAGCTGGGACTAGAGGCATGTCACCACACCCAGCTAATTTTTCTATTTTTTGCAGAATGATGTCTTGCTATGTTGCCCAGGCTGATCTTGAAACTCCTGGCCTGAAGCAATCCTTCTGTCTCAGCCACCCAAACTGCTGGGATTACAGGTGAGGGCTAGTATATCTGGCTCCTTTTCTTAATTTCTACGTCAAACGCAAGTCTAGGAGGATAAGTGTCGATAAACATGCCTAGGGCAGCCCAGGTTTCTAGGTTATCCCTACAGATGGGGTGGAGAGATTCCAGCCAAAGTTAGGTTATAAAAAACAGACAGGAGGTTGGACAGGGCTGTCTATCCCAGGCACTTCTGCAGCTGTGGTGACTGCCTGGATGGGCACTCACAGAGAAGGAAGGGTACTGAGAGAGAACTTGAGATAAGGGGTCTTTCTCTACAACAGCAGCTTCCAATCAGAGACAATGATGGATATCCAGCTACCCAACTCACAAAGGACAAAGGCTCCCGGCTTGGCAGTCTGATTGCTGGGATGAAGTACAATCAGAGGTAGAGTGAGCCCTTTTTAGCTTACTGTGAACAGATGAATATGGGACACCTGCCACTCACTGCAAAGCGCTTCACATACCTGGCTGCATTCATTTACTTAATAAAGCCAGAATGTGAAACAAACCTTTTTTTAGCCAGGTTCTCAGAGCCCTGTTACAGAGAATGTGCCTTTAATTAGAGCCAGACTGCATAGGAGTGGGTTCAGCTACTCTGTAGTTTGGTGCTGCAAGGTAGAAAAGTTACCATGTATTTTTCTAGGCAAGCAAAATGTAGATGATGTTTAATATCAGATATCTCTCCAGGGAAAGAACATTCTGTAGCTCAGAGAAATAAGGCAAGTTTGGTTAATTTCTGGTTTGTGTCTTTTAAAAACAGAACATTCAGGCTTTTGTGAGCAGTGCAATAACAATAGATATAATTACTTAGAGATGAAGAAATCAAGGTTGAGTAACTTGCCCAAGGTCACAGTGTTACTAACAGAGCTGAGATTTAAACTCAGTGTGGTTTAAATCTCACTGTAAAACTGTAAAAAAAATCTCAGCTAGTGTGGTTTTTAAATTTTGCTGTATTTATTATTCTTTTTAGCCTGTCTTTAGGACCTCACTTTCTTTTTTTTTTTTTGAGTTGGAGTCTCGCTCTGTTGCCCAGACTGGAGTGCAGTGGCCGCTCCCGGCCACCACAGCCTCGACCTGCTGGGCTCCGGCGATCCTTCCGCCTCAGCCTTCCGAGTAGCCGGAATGACAGGCCTGCGCTACCACGCCCGGCTGATTTTTTGATTTATTGTAGAGATGAGGTCTCGCTGCCCAGGCGGGTCTCGAACCCGCGGGCTCAGGCAATCCATTCACCTCAGCCTCCCAAAGGCGCGGGATTACAGGCTGAGCCACCAAGCCCGGCTAGGACCTCACTTTCTTAAACCTTGTGGAACACTTGAGAGGGATGTAGTGTTCTGAAAGGAGGGGCTTCAAATTGCTCTGTGTCCAGCAGCTGTAGAAGGGAATGATTAGTCTGTGAAGTCAGTCTCTGAAGATGAACTTCTGGGTCTTTAAGTCAAGATGTTTCTTCTTTAAGGATGTTTCCTCTAATGAGGTATGTACAAGGGTGTTAACTGTAGCATTATTTTGAGAGTAAAAGGTTAGAAGCAATCTAGATTTCCATCAAGAGCAGGGCAGAGGCCAGGTGGTGGCTCATACCTGTAATCCTAGCACTTTGGAAGGCCGAGCTGGGAGGACTGCTTGAGGCCAGTAGTTCAAGACCAGCCTGGGCAACATAGTAAAACTTCATCTCTATTTAAAAAAAAGAAAGGTCAGGCTCGGTGGCTCAGCCTGTAATCCCAGCACTTTGGAAGGCTGAGGCAAGTAGACTGCCTGAGCCCGCAGGTTCGAGACCAGCCCGGGCAACTTGGCAAGACCTCGTCTCCTCAATAAAGTAAAAAATTAGCCGGGCGTGGTAGCGCGTGTCTGTAGTTCCAGCTACGTGGAAGCCTGTGGCAGAAGGATTGCGAGAGCCCAGCAAGTTGACACTGGGGTGGCCATGAATGTGCCACTGCACTCTAGCCTGGGCGACAGAGTGAGAGTCCAACTCAAAAAGAAAAAAATAGGGTAGAAAGTAAATTATAGCACAAACACACAATGAGATAGTAGGCAGTTATTTTTATTTTTTTATTTTTTTGAGTTGGAGTCTCACTCTGTCACCCAGACTGGAGTGCAGAGGCTGTTCCCGGCCACCGCAGCCTCGACCTGCTGGGCTCCGGCGATCCTTCCGCCTCAGCCTTCCAAGTAGCTGGAACTACAGGCGTGCGCTACCACGCCCGGCTAATTTTTTGATTTATTGTAGAGATGAGGTCTCACCAAGTTGTCCAGGTGGGTCTCGAACCCGTGGGCTCAGGCAATCCACTCACCTCAGCCTCCCAAGGCGCGGGATTACAGGCTGAGCCACCGATCCCGGCTGTGCACCACTGCATTCTAACCCGTGCGACAGAGTGAGACTCTGCCTCAAAAAAAAAAAAAAAGAAAGAAAAAAGTTTTTAGAGGTCTTGCCTCTTGCTTCTATTTGATTGGTCCCTTATTTGCACTTTGGATTGTGAGCTTTTAGTCTGCAAGGCTTTATCTGTGGGAATCTTCTATGGCCTGGATTGAGAAAGTACTGGAGATATTTTTACATTTGCTTCTAGGCAACAAAGGTTTATCACTTGCCTGGGACCACTTTAGTTTCAGTTAATTTCTTGGGCCTTGTAGATAAGTATATATTTAAACTTCAAACCAGTTTGAGGGCAAACTAATGATTGCACACTCCCATTTTTTTCCCCTCCTCCAACCTAGATTGACACAAGCTTTTATGTTGTCTTTTGTATTGTTTGACAGATTTTTGTTTTCAAGTCTACTCTTTCATGAGAGTATACCTCCTTAGGGTCTTGGTTTTATGTAGAAGCCATAGTCTCTCCTTTTAAGATTCTTTTTTGCCAGGACTGAGCCTGTAATCCCGCGCCTTTGGGAGGCTGAGGTGAGTGAATTGCCTGAGCCTGCGGGTTTGAGACCCGCCTGGGCACGCGAGACCTCATCTCTACAATAAATCAAAAAATTAGTCGGGCATGGTAGCACACGCCTGTAGTTCCAGCTACGTGGAAGGCTGAGGCGGAAGGATTGCCAGAGCCCAGCAAGTTGAGGCTGCGG